TGGGTAGGTAGGTAAGTAGGTAGATAGTTAAATAGATAGATAGATGGATCACATGGAGTCACTGCTCTCTTCTGGTCAGTGGTCATGTGACATGAATGGATCAGTTCGATTTTACCTTACTGAGGGGGTGGTACAGCACAAAAGCCTGGATGTAGTAAGTTACCTTAAAATATATAGAGGTGACACGTGCTTTTTAAATGTATTAGGTAGAAACAAAACTTCGTGACACTAGTCAATACTTACTCGATAATCATGTGAGTATCAATTCGATACCACAGAATCAATACTCCCATCACTAACCTCTGCCCTCTGCAGTAGATCAAAGTAAAAACCAGGGAATGGTACTGGGCCGGAGAGCCCTGTGTGCTGTGACAGAAACCCTCGTCTTTGCACGCTCATCTTCATCAATGACCAATTCTTTTTGAAGAACCAAACTTGGCCCGTCGTCAGCAGACAGCGGTCGTTTTCTTTCTTTTTTTTTCTTCCCCTCCACACTTCTTCTTCTGTGGACATATTTCACACTGTGCCTTGTACACTCAAATGAATCCATTGTGTGTGAGAACACGCAGCAGCTCAGACACTCACATGGGGGGGCGGGGGGGGGCAGGAACAGGAGCACCGAACAAAAACTGGACACGCCGTGCATTCTTGCACTGCCTTGTGAAATGTGGAGTTTCAGCTCCACACAGAAGCTGGGCCGAGACCAAACCTCTCCACGGGACCATCGTGTGTTTTTTTTCACACAGCTGTGGTCGTAAAAAAACAAAAAAAAAAAAACGCACCGGCCGACCGAGAACCTTCCCTAAATTAACTCTACAAATGTGTGTTCCCGTTGCCATGGCAGTGCAGTTTGAAAACTTTCCCCATGCAGGGGCGTCAAACGGAGAGAGGGAAAGATGGCGGGAGCAATTAGAGAGCGGGGAATGTGGGGAGTGATGGAAAAAGGACAAGAAAAAGGAGGAGGAGGAGAAGGAGGAGGAGAACCACAGGCTAAGAATGTTCCTCACTGTGTGAAAGAAAGTGAAAAAGACAGTGATTTAGGTGACACACATTCACTATGCCTTCGCTGCTCTTATTCACTCGGTGTCTTTAGTTCAGACTCAGTCTCTTTGAAGACGGCTGAGTTACACTGGAAAGTTCTGTCAGAGCCCCGTCCAACATGTCGGGTACTGGTCTGGTCTGGTTCAGTTCAGGACAGGGGACAAACAAGCTGGAACAGGGAGTCAGTTTGTTCCTCTGAATTATGTGACTCCTTCAAATGACGTGATTCAACCTGTCACACACCAACAGCAGTCATCTGGATGAATTTCCAGTTCGAGTGGAACCTCCGTTTTTCCAACTTAACTCCTTCCTGAAGGCCGTTGGCGAACGGAAAAGTTCAAAAACCGAAAAAACTGTTTCCCCATAGGAATCCATGTTAAATGGATGATAAACTGTTTCCCCATAGGAATCCATGTTAAATGGATTAATCAGTTCCTGGACCCTGGATGACTGCTGATTCAAACTTTTTCGACAGTATTTTGTGTACAAGTTCATACACCAAGACAATGAAAATAATTAGATTGAACAAAAAAGAGATAACAAAACAGAATAAAGAAGAAATCTATAAATAGGAAAGGCGATTTCATTCATCCTTACTGGAGCTGAGGAGTCGTGATTGCGCAATGTTGGCTTCGTTTTCTAACAAATTATTGTCGCCGAATTAACTTCTTAGCTCACTTTTAGAATGTGCTTGCATTTTTTTATATTGTTGTTGTTTGGCTTTTTTTTTTAAGAATTTCAGATATATTTTCTGTTCAAACTTTGACAAAATTTTTATATTGTTGTTGTTTGGCTTTTTCTTAAGTATTTCAGATATATTTTCTGTTCAACACAATGTTCAACTGTAAACAGTCTCCACTTGAGAGTCAATGAGTATTTTCAGCGACATTCCTGNNNGTCCTGTTAACACTCCACTCTGGAAACGTTCCTCCCAACCCTAAATCCCCTCACGGCCATACAAAGCCCATCCATAACCACACCAGCCCTCCACCCTGCAGCTCTTTCCCGGAACGGACACTCCCCCTCCCCGAGCCTAACCCTGCAGCACCCTCACAGTCCAAAATCCCAGGAGCTTGGACCTTATATGCAAGCAGATATAGGAGTAAGTATTTTAACTCTTTTACGAAGTGACATCATCCATGTCTCCCCACTCCACCCTTTTCTAACTGAAATGTATAAAGTATTCAAAACAACACGTGTTTGTAAAAATCTGGACGAACCCAATGTTGTGTCATCTGTTCTGTGGTCAGGTGAGGCAGTAGCAGCAGAGTTTTTACACTGTTCTCACCCTTACAACCCAATACAAATGGTCAAACTGGGAGTGAGGTCATCTGAAAAACAAAACTTTTTTGACATTTTTTCACATTATTGGTGACGTAAAAAAAAAAGTCTTTTTTAGGTTTTGTTAGGTTAGTTTCTGTCGGACTATCTCTGCTTACTTTTTTTTGAATATTTTCTTGGCTAATTGACTTATTTCAGTGTTGACTGTTTGCTGTTTTTCCCCTGATTAAAAACACACATGCACACAAAGACGCCATGAATTTTAATCACTGCACACATGCAAATGGAAATTAGCCTCATCGCCAAGGAAACGCCAAACAACATGCCGCAGCATGTCCTTGGACATTTCTCGTAAGCTCTCTCCACGAAGAAAAGTCTTCAGTGTTCACTGTGAAGTCCAGCTTTAGAAGAGGTTTTTGGGCCGTTTATACAATCAGCGCTTAGTTTTTGTTTCTGTTCTTTAAAGCCTCTGACACGACATTCAGGTTTGTCCAAAAAGAACTTGACTCTGAGTCTTCTGGACTTTAGTCCTTCAGTCCCAGCCCCAGTGTTCAGATGTAAGAACATCGTTCATTCCCTGCTTCCTTGAATCAACTTCCTAATGATATTTCCTAAAGGAAGTTCAATCTATTTTTAGATCATATTTTAGCAGGAGGTTTTACATGGGCTTTGCTAACCTTTACCACGTTTATCAATCATGTTTTAGCTTTATCGGTTCCATAGTGTAGCGGTTAGCATGCCTGCCTTAAAAGCAAGACAGTCCTGGGTTCGACTCCCAGGGGAACTACATGCTTGTCGCCTGCTGGGGGCAGCCTGTTAGCACCCTATATGTTGAGTTTGATTCTGGCTCAATGAAGATTTTGTGATTTTATTTTCGGCCAGTTGCCGCTATTACTTTCTTTTTGCCTCGGAGCAGTTTTGACAAAACTTTATTTATTTGTGTTTTGTTTGTTCTTTCTATCAGTTAACAGCTGTAATTTTTTCACTATAAAAACAACAATTGTTTCGTAAGTGTGTTCCCCCTGTACCTACACCGGTGCATTTCTACGCAACTTAATGATAGTTATATCAGTACATATAACAGCAGGGAAATAAAATCTCAGGTATTTCAGGTATTGTCCTTGTAAAAAAAATATTTTTGGACATCTCTGTCTTTTTCCGCTCCTTTTTTTCCTATCAGATAAACACAGCCTTTAATCTCTGATAAAACCCTGCGGCGCCTGCTGGACAGAAGCTGATCATTACATTTTACAGCTGTTGTGCATTATTCACAGTTTCAGTCACAACGAAATGTCTGTTGTCGTACTTATTGTCTGTGTGGAGCCACCTGCTTTAATATCCCACATCCCAAATTACTGACACAGACTTCCTGGCATCCAGGCCCAGCCGTTTTGTTATTCATCTCTCGAAAACACGAGTTGTTTGGGTTAGTGGCTCGGTATCTACCTTTGTGATCATTCATTCCGAGCAGAACAGATTAGTGATTCAGCACAAGTCTGTTTTCCTGCTGCTGCTGCTGCTGCTGCACCTGGCCAGGTTCTTCCACACACGCACACGCATCCTCTCCTCCTCTCTGTTAGTGAATCATTATGAATTCCATAGTACTGGTGTGTGCTCCCACAGTTGCATCATAAGCCGCAGGGCACAGAGGTCACCGTGGGAAACACAGAGGCCGTTTGACAGAGCGCTGAGTGAAAGGAACTCAGTGTCAGTTGTTGAAATTTGAATTTACTTCCAAGACTGGGAAGGAAATTAGCTGTTTTTCCCATAACAAGCGTTGTAAAAAAATATATATCATATTAATGTCATACATTATGAAGAAGAAATGTATAATGTCCATGAAGTCAAAATTTGTTCATCGCAAAGACTTCAGACCAAATTATCTGCTACTACTACTAACATGTATGACAAAAATGACCAGTTTGGCTATGAACTGGGACCATTAATCACTGGGTTGATTGCCATTTTGCAACATGTTCCTATCATGATATTTTTTACATCACAAATCCATGTTTACGCAGCCAGAATTTTGTATTTAGCACAAAATGAGGTTTTTGAATTTTTCTGAATGTTTCTCTAAAATTGCAATATTGACCTCTGCACCAATGGCATCTTTATCTTATCATCCATACCATCAGCAGGTTCTTCGTCCTGCATCAGTAGACATAATTACTCTGGATGATCGTTGTCATTTTGACATATAGATTACCATATCTGCTTTCCCTCAAAAACAGCTAAGACATCAGTCATGTCGCCACGGTGTCCGCCGTCACCTTCGCTTACGTGTCAGTCGATCTCAGGTCCAGAGAACAGGACATCGTTTCAGTCCTTCGTATTTTTTGTTGTTGTCGTTTTTCTGTCATTGTTCAAAAAGGTGCAAAGATAAAATCGTAAAGTTTGGTCAATAACTTATTCCTCGTTAATAAGTTAATACTCATTAATCGTTGATAGCTCATAGAAAAACACTTTAAAAGCCTTAATGAAAGATCCACTAAAGACATCTGTAGAGTTTTGTTCTCCCTCTGAATGAGGTGTTGAGTGGTCACTGACCAAAGGCTGACCACAGCTGACCCAGGGATCAGGGATCTTGGCAAACGCCTGTAAAAGTCTTCTGCTCAGTGTGTGTGTGTGTGTGTGTGATTTAGTGGAGTCAGTGGATGTTCTGACCTCTGTGGTCAGCAAAGACAGAGGATGTTCTGACTGAACAGGGATTCCACAGTCAGTATGAACCATTCAACCAGTTTTTAATTCCCTTTTTTTAAAAAAAAAAAAGCCTCAGCTCATCATATGTTTTGGAAACTGCGAACAAGGGCATCGGTTGAGCCTCGGAGTTTTATTTAGAAAGGTTGGCAGAAAAGGGAGCTGCCTGTTGTGTTGTGCCATGACAGGAAGAAGGCGGGACCCGAATGCACTGTGAGGGAGACTCTCTTCAGGTGCAGGAAGTTCATTCAAAACACAAAACTTGATTACATCCATTTTCAAAAACAAACAGGATTTCACGAGAGGGGAAAAGACATGAACACCACACAGTAACAACCACAGAACAACCACAAGACACAGAACAATGATCCCACCAACACAGCATGAGGGAGACAGGACACCAGGTGACACCAGTGAGACTGATGACAGAGACACAGGTGAGAAAATGAGTGATTTATGTTAAATTTCAATTTCAAGTATTTTAGTTTGATAGCTGTCATCTGACACAGTGTACTTTGTTATGTTTCAAATATTGATTTATTCCGAGTTTTCTTGTCGAATGCCTTGCTCTGTGTTCGACTGTTCACGCTTTCTTCCGCGAGGCGAGTGAAGCGTTGTTCTGCAAAGAAAGACAAAAAAAAAAAGTGAATGCACCGAGACTGAGAGACGTCTGTACGGAAGCTGCTGGGTGGAGTTGAGAGATGGGGTAGAAAGGAACGACCAGAAGACTGGGAAAGGAAGGAAAGGACTGGGTAGGAAGGTGTGACATCATTATTGGAAAGTCCGTAGTGGAATCCAGGCGTCTTCTTCTCTAGATGATGGTTAACCTCTCATCCAAGAGGAACTTCAAGCTCAGTTCCAACTGAGTGCTGTAAGAGTCGTGGCATTTAGCCGTTACTCAACAGACGAGGTGGCTTAACACTGTCCCGAGGTCAGACTACTCAGCCATCATAAAGCAGTTAACACAGACAGACCCCAAGGGGAACATGGATGATACCCCTTCCCCCTACTTTCACAGTTTGACCCAGGTGATTACAACATCCTGCCATTAGGTCAGGGATCGGCAGTGGTTTCAAGCATTCAGCAACTCTGAGGCTGAATAGCTTTTCCAGCTGTCGGTTAGAACTGTAGAAGCCTCTTTTGAATGTTTGAATTGAGCTGAAGGTCTTCTAGAAATCGTGGCGCTGTGGCACAGAGGCAATGTCTCTGTCATTGGTTCACCTCCTGGGAAAGTTCGAATCCCGGTTAGGGCGGTTGGTACCTTCCAGTGGACTCTCCACCCACAGGAAGGTTCAGGGGGGTTGGTACGGTGCAGTGTGATTTGGGTGGCGACTGCTGCCCCCGCGATGGATGGATGGATGGATGTCTTCTAGAAACCAACACAGTGAAGGTAGAAAGAACATGGTTAGGGTTAGTCAGCAGATTAGGGCAGTAATGAAGATTGTGGAAAGCGTAATGGAACCTAGCGCCAGGCAAGAGGTTGAGCTCAGTGGGTAGCAGTTTTTTCTTTGGGAGTACTGGTAGGAAGGTTCAGAGCAAGAGAGAAAGAGTTACACTGTCTCTTTGTGGTTTCAGAGAAAGCATACGATAGGGTTTCTAGGGAGGAACTGTGGTACTGTTGACAGGCACGAGTGGTAAAGAAGTATAGTTGTGCAGGACATGCGTTTCAGCGAGGCTGTAGTTGTGTTTAAGGTAGGGGTGGAGTCACTGACACATGAGGTCAGGCAGAAGGCTCCGTGGAGCGTGAACTTTGCAGATGACATCTGTGGTAAGAGTATAGAGCAGGCGGGGGGAAAAACTGAAGAGGTGGAGGTTTGTTTTGGAGCAAAGAGGAATGAAGGTCAGCAGGATTAAGAGCAGATACATGTGTGCAAATGAGAGAGAGGCAGGTGGAACCGTAACCTGGTGAAGGTGGATTAGTGTAAATTCCTAGGGTCAGCCATCCAGAGTGATGGATTGGCAAAAAGGTGGAAGGTTGGTAAGACAGTAGTGAGACATGCTATCCAGAGTGATGGATTGGCAAAAAGGTCGGCAAACGAGTGTGGGCAGGTTGGAATGGAAAAAGACGAAGGTGTGGAAGGTTGGTAAGACAGTAGACATGACGTTTTTTTCTGGGAACCCATATTTTATAAGTCACAAACCTTCACGAACCAAGTCAATAGACATTATTTGTAAACTCCTAGGAAACATGATGCGAGACGAGCCAAAACAAATCTCTTGCTACCCACCTGAGGGTCGCAACCCCGTCTTTGGTGAACTCGTTGGTTAAATGTGAAACAGTTTCAGACACTACTTCAGTACATCATATGTACACCAGATTTGGCAATGCACTATGGGATACATAGTAGTATGGGATACATTATTATAGTATACTTCTATTCACTAAACATTCGGACACCACTACAAAATGGCATGCAGCCTATTTAGTGCACTACGTAGGCTGTAGGGTGCGGTTTCAGACACAGCCTACGTAGGCTGCACTGGAGGTGACATTAATGGACAAGACAGAAATGAGCAGACCAGAGGGATAGTTAAGGTGGAGCAGTCTAGAGATAAAGTAAAAGAAAGAGGTGTGTACTGAGGGGAGATAGTGGATACATTAGACCAGTGGTGTCAAACTCATTTAGGTTCAGGGGTCACATACAGCCTAATCAGATGTGGAGTGGGCTGGACCAGTGCAATTATAACATGATTACCTATAAATAACTGCAAATAAAGACAAACATATAAGAAAATATTACTATTGACAAAACACCACAAACATGAAGGGTTTGTGGATAATTTCAGTTTCAAAAGTGGGCCGGATTGAACCACCTAGCGGGCCGGTTTTGGCTCGCGGGCCATAGGTTTACGTTTGTGGGAGGCAAAGTAAAGAAAAGAAAAAAATAACTGAATTAAATTAAGATCACCAAAAGGTGAAAGCTAACTGATGGCTACACATTAGCTTCTGCAATCACATTACAAGAATATCTCAAACACAGCTATGTAATCACATTAGCTTCTGCAATCACATTACAAAAATGTCTCAAACACAGCAACACATTCTGGAAGGGTAAAGATAAAACAAAGCTAAAATCAAAGCTAGCA